CGCCCGGGCTGGGGCGGGTGGGGGTCCGCGGCGCCGTGGTCTCTTCGTCTACCGGTAAAACTTTCTCCGGGAGCGCAACTCCGGGACTGGGCGCTTTGCCTTCATCCCCAGCTGGCGGTTATAGGTTGTGACAGATGCTAAGGGCTCCGTCTTTCCTGCCGACTCGGTAACCGAGCGGGAAAGGGTATTTTTAGCTCCCGCCACCGAGTCGTGATGCTATTTTTAGCACTCGGCAGTTCCCACCTTGCAAAAGGGAACGGCAAGTAAGCTGTATTTAAGAATGAAATCGAGACACGGTACTGGGGATGCTGCCGTGGCATACAGTGTGTGTCTGTGCATGCTGGATGCTATTCTTCTGATAGATTTTCTATGAGTTATAAAAATGTCTCCAGTAACACATGCTAAGCTTCGAATCAAGGAAATATGAAGTTATAGACATTGCAGGATTCAGACAATTTCTCCCTCCCCTCCCCCTCCTTTTCTTTGTCCACCTCCTCCTTACTGGCTAGGTCTTTGGGGAATGGGAAACATTGACAGAAAACAGTTTTAGGCATGTTTTCTAAAAAGATAAATCTCCAATTTTGACAGGATAGAATCTGTGCTGGTCTGTTGAGTAAATCCCTCTTAGTTCATGGATTATTGGTCAGACAGGCAGGAACTTCTTCAGATTCATTCTGCTTTATCATGTCAGACCAGCTGCTGCGCACGTGTACCAAATCTGTGCACTCCAAACCCTATGCATCTTTCATTGAAAAAAATACAGGAGCATGTGAAGAGAGAGCTGAACTGTTAATGAAAGCAGAATTTCACTCCCATGATGACTGAGAAGCTGCTTTTATTTTTTTTTTCACAGCTGGCTGTCAGGGTCTTCATTATTGCTCCATCAAATTCATTAGTTGTGATTTAAAATTCATCAGAGGGGAACTTGAGCCCAGGCTTTGCTATGAGCTAGCCTAAGAAAGATAGTATTGGACTCTGGCAAACAGTGGCATGATTAACTTTAAGGTTAATTTCGGTAGTTCAAATTAATTGTATGTTTGTTTTATTCAGCCATAGTGGAATGACACACACACGATCAAAATGAAGACTAGCAGATTTTATTTTTTTTTTCTCCCTACCGTTGCCACCAATGTAAATTCTAAGCACTGTATTATCTTCCTGCTTTCATTGACAAAAATTTCATTCACTGGGAGCAGGCAGAGTTACACACAGCAGTAGTATGTAGTTGAGAGGAGCATCAGACTGCAGAAGTCCAAGTCAGCACTGGACTACCCCTGCTCTCTGGGATATTTTCAGGTGGAGGGAGAAAGGCATACAGACATATTACTGGGGTTCCTCCAGGGGAAAGGGTAGTATTCTCCTCCTTAATTAGTAAATCTATACTTCAGCACTTCCTTGAGGAGTTTGCAATACAAACATGTCTGGTAGTAACTGAAATAAATGTGGTGCCTGTTTTCTGGAAACATAACTGAATCATTGGACTCTCTGCGTGTGCATACTCTCTGCTGTAGATCTCACGTAATCTCTTGAATCTCAACACGTGCTCACTTGCTCACTCTTACTGCGTTTCTTGTTCTTGCCTTTTCTGTCATAGTGGCTGTTAAGAACTGCAGCAAACTGGCAACAGTTATCTCCTACAGCTAGGAGAGTAGAGCATTCTTCTGAATATAAATTATTTGAGACTGGAACATGAACTAGATACTGATTTACCCTCTGAAACTAAGTAGATAGTTTCAAAGTTAACTTGTTATTTTAAGGTATAAGGTGGTAAATAGCTTATAGTCTTGGTAAAAGAAAATAGTAGCAAGCTTTTAAAGGTTTAGAGTTTTTTTATTTTCTTTAAAATATAGGGGTGTTTAGTACATGGATAAAAGAAACTTTGGAAATAACAAAATTAATAAGCTTCAAAAAGGTGTGTTAAGTGTTTTTGACTAATCCTTCAAAATCCTATGACTGGGCATAACTTTACTTACATGAGCACCACTATTAAATTTGGCCTTCAATTCAGAAAGGATTACTCGGGTAAGTAAATTTATGACAGGGCATAAGTATTTAGGAAATCCTGGCCTGATTTGTAAGTATGAAGACTTAGTCTCCTAAAACTTGTTTGAACTAGTTCAGGTTATTCAGGAAGAGATTGTGTTGAAAATAATTTGATTTTTACATAGAGCTCATTTGTAACTTGGTAATGCCAAAGACAGTTGTGGCTTTTTACAGAGATGTAATAAGAAAGAAACTTCTGATTTTGCAACAAATTATATTGGTAAGTCTTGCTGGCACAGTTATTGAGGAAAAAGGACACAGGATGAAAATTCCACCGGAAAAATGTCAGGGAGGAACAGAAGATGCCTCCTGAAGAAAATGTATCTCACTGAAGACTTTCTTCCCTCTTTGCAAGAGAGAACTAACAGAAATAAGGAGTATTTAACACTTTACCAGAAAAGGTGGATTTGGTGGGGAAAACATCTTGCATCTGTCATACTCTCTATTATATAAGTATTTTTTGAAGATAACTACAAATTGAACCTGTGGACTTATGATTTTAAAAGTGCATTGGGGAATAGTAGGAAGGCCTAGAAAAACCTTCTCAACAAGTGGTATAACCTTCCTGACAGTCAGAAGGTTAGTAAAAGACACTGATCAAAGCAGAGAAATCAGTAACTCAAAGAAGTTTGTCTCAGCAAGCGAGGAGTGTCTGATACTACAGACTCCTTCATAGGCACAAGCATGGCTTCAATAGATGCTCTTCTAGACACAGAAGCTGATGATGCAACTGGTAGGATCCTCTTTTATTTAATGTACTTGACTTGTAATAAGTTTCATAGTTCTGGTCTGTTTTTTCTTTTATGGTGGCTTTGTAATCTAAGAGGTGCCTGACACCAATTCAGTCCTGGTGGGAACAGCTGTAATTTAACGCTGACCTACACAAAGACTGAATTTCGTTTATGATGTCTATGATCTTTTAACTTTGAAACAAAGTTCAAGGGAAACATTCAAGGCATAAGGATTTTAATGACCGTATCTTGGTAGCACGTTCATGAAGCTAGAACTTTAAACTGGTGCTCTTTCTTTAATGATTAATTTTTTTAAAAGAGTGAGAATAGCTGACTTTGAAAAGAGGCTTTGTGTAAATCATCCTAAGGTGTCTTGTTTTCCATTACTAGTATTCATAGATCAGAAATAAGGTCATTCAACAGTTCCACCCTGAAAAGATGTAGTAACTAGCCTTAGGGATCTTGGATTAAAGAACTACTGGTATTTTTTTGCAGCAAGTGGAGATTTACTTGAAACTATCAAGATTGAGTTAAAGCATCTCAGAAAACTGTAGAGATTGCTTAAAGTGATTTATGTAACACTACTCTCAAATTTGGTGATTGCTAGTATCCTTATGCCTTTGTTGTTACCCACACCAAGACAAACAATGCATCAAGAACAAGGTGAGGGAGCAGCTCTAAGTCTTTGTGTCTAGTTTATTGGTTGTGACATTAAAATGTCACTTAACACACACCTGTCATTTTGGTGACACGGGGATTTAGGTACTCAATGATGGCAGGACTAGACCTTTCTTAAGGTCAATGAAGAAAGCTCTCTTGAGTGCTATTATGCCTCTTGCTCTTCTTTCTCTTCCTTTTGAAACTGTTCTCATGGCCTGGTGGGTTGCCTTTTTCCTGGGTGCTTTATGTGCTGAGGTCCAAAGGTTCCCTGACTACTCCTCCAACAAAGCTCTGTGTGGAGCCTCCCACAGGCAAGAAGAGAGCCCCAGCAATCTCACCCCTCTCTCTTCTGTGCCTGTCCTGTCTGCTAACACCTGACATGGGTTGGGATAATACAGGGGAGTGGTGCCAACCTGGTAACTAGCACCTACCACATCAGGACAGAAACTTGCATTCACCCCCTTCTCACCCATCTCTGTTCTGTGCCGAGTGTATTTTTGTACTTTTTTTCCAGTTTTCCATGTCCTTGGGCCAAGTGTTTGAGGCTAAAACTTTGTTTTGTTGCTAGTGAAGAAGGCAGAGAGGAAGCTAGGCATTGCTGAGGCCCCAGGGCCTTAGAGCAGCAAGATACCGTTAACTTCAGTAGGACTGCACACATGCTTAAACTAAAGTATGTGTGGTAACTACTCCTCTGAATGAGATGGCAATGAAAAAGGGAAAAAACCCAGTGTTCATATGCTCAATCTGCCTCACCTGCTTTAGGTCCCACGAGTTCTGTGAAGACAACTCTGTGAGTGTGCAAAAGAATAATGAACTCAAGTAATATCTGTCCAAAATTTCTAAGATCAGCAAAGTCACTTTTGAAAGAACTAAAGAACACAACTAATTAAGATTTTTTTTAAAAAATCCAATATTTGTTTAAGAGTATACCCATTGCAGAATTGGGAATGGGAATCTATCAGTAAGAATCTCTTTTTGGAGGCTTTTCTAACTGGTCCTGGGTTTTGGTTTGAGCAGTGTAAGAATCAAGTTGAAGAGTTTTCCTCTTTTAGTGCATTTTCTAGAATGTAAATTTTAAAAGTAAGGATGGAGCTATCTTTTGATAATCAGATTGGACATCTCATTAGCCTTTTCAGAAAATTATTGTTCTTGATGATGTTTTGTTTTTTACTTTTAAGATTATAATGTTAAATGCTCTAGTAAAGATTGTTTTAGCTAATAAATGAAATTCCTGTTGTGAATTCAGACTAATGGAATCGTTCTTTTTGTCACAGGTGGTCTTTGGACTTCATTCCGTGCCCTGAGAGACTATGGGTACCTCAACACGTACGTGACTCGAGGAAGAGAACTTGTAGAAGATGAAGTTGTAGCACAAATTCAGGGTTCTGATAAAAACTGAGATGTTGATGGCAATGAACATTATTTCAGAAATTAATAACTTCCGGTATTAAAAATGGTAAGCTGTTTGGGAGAAGGGACAATGTCTAGTGGAGATGCTGAACTTTGCCAATTGTTGGACAGACCTGAGCATAAAAACAGTTTAAATAAAGTTGTTCCTCAGACTGGTTTTTGATTGAATACTTCACTGAATCAAAGCTTTACTTCAAAGACCTGTTTAAAAGGCACTGTGTTGTTGGTGACCAAAGGTAGAGATGAGTATTTCAAATAATTAATAATTTATTCCTACTAATATGTCTGTCAAACTCAGCTATTTATTCTTTCTGCAAGACTCTACATTTGAAGTTTTGAGGTGTTGCTTTCTCTGGTTAACTGTTGCCTAGGAACATTGGTACTGATATGCTCTACTATTTGCTGTCTCTTTTTGGTTATTTTTTTTGAGGGGTTCTCCCTTTTCTCATTAAGATTTTTTTCATCCTTAGTTTTTTTCATTAGCAATTTCTGATCTGCATCTACTCTTATCTCTTATATTTCTTTCTACACTATCCACTTTTCTGTCATGTTATAACATATGTACTTCATGTCTTTCTAGCATAAGATATCACCAGCAAGTCTAGGTTAGTTATAGAAAAAGCTACCAAGAATAGGCATCCAGTACTGATATGACAATGTCTGTTCTGTTCCTATGGTGAGGCTTCCTTTCCTAGGGCAATAAAAACGTCAAGTCAATGCTGTGCATCACAGTTTAATTTTGCAGCCTCAATAAGAACTTGTCATCCTTGCTGTTGGCAGTTTTTCTTCTAGTCACATCTGTATGCTGCTTTAAATTCAACATTTTCCACTCCTGAGAAAGAATTGCCAACCTCTGTTTCAGGAGGCCAAGTGTTATGAAGAATTCTTCAGGATAACAGAACAAAAATTTGTAAAGCAAACAATGTTTGCTTACTTAATGAACAAGACCCTGTGTGTAGTTAAGTAATGTTTGGGACTATAATACAAACGGGTGTTCTTTCAAAATCTAGCCCTCTTGAAGTCA